TCTGTCACTTTTGACTACTGTTAATTTTTATCATATAACTCACTCGTATTGCAAGGCGTAATCCAACGGCCGATCCATAAAAGTCATTTCAGACAATCTTAGCGCCAGACATTTCTTATTTTCACCTCAGGTTACAATCACGAAGCGGTTACAAGTACATGTTTGTCGTCCGCTAGTATCTGTGGTTCATTAAGCTCTCTGTGAACCTCAACCTCAAAAAACATGCGCCAGTACCCAGAATCGCCCACGACCCATGGGACTTGGGCTCCTGCTACAATTACGTTTTTTAGGCAGTTATGATGAGATTTCTTTCAATATGCAAATAATAATAATAATAATAATAATAATAATAATAATAATAATAATAATAATAATAATAATAATTGTTTTTTCTTTAAATATGCCTATTATAACAATGTTATCAGCAGTATATTGTTATTATGATCATTATTATTATCATTAAAGGTTTCCGAGCTCGTTCATTTGAAAATATAATAAATAGGATTTCTTAGCTATTTAGAGAATCGCATCTAATATATTGTTTTTCTTTTGCATAAAAATATTTTTGAAATATATTTATAACTGTAACAAATACCCGTTATCGCTGTCTGCAATTTATTGATTTTAAGACCTGTGATTTTCCATTAAGTGTTTAGTTGTTAGAACGTAAATACCTACAAAAGTAAAGCCGGTGACAAAGTCTTTTCGCCGGAATCTAATCAGTGTACAGGAAGACTCCAGAAAGTCCTTAATTTTTTATTAATTTTTTTCTACTTTAAAGGTACTTTTTGTTAAGTAAATACGCCTTTTTGCAGAGTTTCTAAAAGAGCAACTCTTCAATAGCTTATCTCTTGTCAGTAGCCATAATAGACTGAAAAAGCTTGTCAAAAATCATCTGACGGAAATTCTCAAGAGATGTGTCAGGAACAAAATGGAAAAAACGAAGAATTACTTACATACTTTTTAAACGAAATTCTCAAGAGATGTGTCAGGAACAAAATGGAAAAAACGAAGAATTACTTACATACTTTTCAAACAGGAACACTCTGAATCACTACATAAAACTAAAGTTCATTATTACAAAACATTTGACCACAACACAAGAGGGTATCTTCTCTTGCCATATGCAAGCTAAAGCTTGGGAGCTATGTTATGTGTCTCATTAAAAATGTGACTTTATGTTTTCCTGTTTCTTACTTTAAAGGACCTTATTTTGTCAAAGATAATCTATTGATAGATAATATTTGTTATACTGTAAATTAGGGGCTTACCTACTGCCTTACTTCTACAAGAAAAAATGACCACACTTTCAAAACAAGTACTTTTAACTTGCTTGCCAAAAATCGCAAACCGTGACAGTTTCCAATAATCCCTCTGAGAGAAGGCTTTATTAACAGTTTGTTCTTTTTTGCTTTTTGT